CTTTATACTCTTGGATTAGTAAGATTGTTTAGAGGAGGTCATCTCGTATTGTGCAAGATGTGAGGTTACAAATAAATGATTTCAATGAAAGGGCACGTATTTATATCCGCCTTGAGAGACGATGACGTGTGTGACGTGTCTGTCGCAGATTTGCATTTAAACTTCTGTTAAAATTATTTAGTTTCTGTTATCAAATTTCCTAAGCGAACAAACAAAAGCTCTATGATCAAAAAGCGGAGTAGCGATAAGCTGTGGGCTGTCCAATCTATTATGACAAGGAGGCTACTAGAGAATCATAGGTAACTCTCAGAATTGCGTTTCAAATCTCATTGAAATTGGCATTTTCTGGCAATAAAATCTTGCGTACTGAGTAAGAGGAGGACGCAATTCTAGATAAAATCAGGCTCTTTGATCAACAAGCAAAATAACGATGAGTTGTGTCGGAGATTTGCATTTCAACTCCAATCATAATTATGAGTAGTTGATTTTAGATTACCTACGCTGAACATCTAATGGATGAAGTCATCAGTTAAGCACAAGCTCTTTACCGATGAGGCAATGATTTGTGTCCATTTCACCATCTTATAACAAGGCGCTTGATAAAAATTGCAATTAAATCGGACTTGCATTTCAATTTCTTAAAAATAAATAGCTTTGTGTTGTAGTACCTGTTGTGCCAAATAAATAAGGGATAATGTAATACGATAGTGGTTTATCCCTCGGTTCTGGTGAGGCTCCACTTTGTACTTCGAATTAGCCCTCTGGTACCTCGCTGGGTGGGTTGGCCTTTTGGGCCATGCCAATAGCCCAGACACCTTCTCTGCGCTGAATATATATATTCCGCCCGAGTATTGTGTCTTCATTCGTCTTCAGGGAGTCTCGGGACGGTACAATTTAGTAAAGACGGTGCTTAAAATAGTCTCGTGGGAATGTTTTACGGCTGTTGTAGTACCTGTTGTGCCAAATAAAAAAAGGATAATGCTAAAAACAACTCAAGCTATTGATCAATGAGAGAAAAGGCGATGACGAACGCTGTCAATCCTCTCATAACGAGGCGACTACTAGAATAGCATAAGTAAATGTCAGATTGGTATTGTAACTCTCTTCGAAATTATTAGGTTACTATTGTTAAATCTCCTACTCTAAACAATTAGCAACTAAGGTTTTCAGTAAAAGTTCCACTCTATGACCAACGGGCGGAGGAAAGATAGGTTTTGTTTTGTCTATTTTGTTATAATAAGGTGTTTGAATAAAAATTATGCATAAATCTTAAACTAGCATTTTAACGCTTGTAAAAATTAGTAGCCTTTTGTTGCACCATCTCTTCCAATGAATAAATTAAGGATAAATTTAAATGATTTGCTCCAGCTACTTGACTAACGAATGAGTTAGTTATAAGTTGAGTTCTGTCCAATTTATTTCTTTAGGCGGCCGCTAAAACTTTACGAGTATTTCTCCGATTCCCATCTCACCTCTAGGCAAAATAATTGGTTTTTTATAATCTCTTATGCCAAAGGGAGAAAATGTTGTTTTTTGTTAGATACAACCTTCCCGATCAACGCGTCAATGAGATGTAAGTTGTTTTTTTTTTAGATCCATATTTACACTAGGGTTCCTAAAGTGTTATGAGAACATCCGAGATTCGCACTTCATCTACTTTCATAGTTATAGGGTTTTCATTGTAAAATCCCCTATGCTGAATAAGTTGTAAATAAAAATATAATAGCAACTTAGGCTCTCCGACCATCTAGCGAAGGAGCAATGAGTTGTGTTTTGTGTAATCTATTGTAACAAGACAGTTGCTAAATAAATGCTCGTAAATCTGAGATTTGCTATCAAATTTGGGCAAAATTGCAATTTTTGCCGCAAAATCTCATGCCGTCTATCAAGCGGATAAACCTATAAGTGAAGCTCAAGCTCTCCTACCAACAAGCAAGTGAGTGATGAAGTTTGTTTTGCCCAATCTATGATGAGATGGCTGTTCCTAAGACGGTCATTTGAAAATTAAATTAGAACTAATGACTTTTGGGTAGAACTTTCTCACTTAGAAGGTAGCACAGTTTTTGTTCGATCTCTTACAAGTATTTCCTTTAAATTTTTAAAGAATAATAGTGAAAAAGTTATGAACAAATCCCCAGCATTATGACTAACGAGCGAAGAAACGATGAGTTGTCTATGTTTAGTCGGTTATAAAAAGACAAGCGCAAAAAATGTGAGTAAGTCTAAAATGTGGAGCTTAAATTCAAGGAAAGCTACCTGACCTTTATCAGAAATAGTTTCTCCCGACAGTGTGTTACTTTTAATTCCGTCATTCAAGCATTAATTCATTTCACCCGGCGATCTCTTGTTTCATAACAGGCAAATTTAGCAGTCATCACTCCTGCATGCAATTAGGGTTCATTAGGGACTTAATCTTCCACTTCCGCAAAAATTCGATTCAAGCATCCATAAGTGAAATAAATAAGTCATTCGACGATTCTTTCCACCCTGCCATTCACTCATCTTTTTGCCATCATTACTTCATGCATTTCTGGCGCTATAGTCAACCAAACTTCCTTTTTTGAAATGCAGATTCATTCGTTCGTGTGCAAAAACAGCCAAACATCCAACGACTTTTTTTAAATTACCATACCACCATTCCTTCAAAATTTACTGACTTATCCGTCATGCAAGTTTCCCTTTCCGCATTCAGGTTCATTCCATCCCTAATGAAAGCAATAAGTCATTCGACGATCCTTTGTTCTCAAAAATCACTCAACCATGCTATCATTCCTTCATGCCTTTTTTTTATTCGCCATCCATCTTTTCATTCGTAAATTTCGATTTTATTCATTAATGCTTTAAATCAACTAGTCATTCGACGATCTCACCCTTACTACCTTTACACCTGCCACATTATCATTCCTTCATGCACATCTAATCCATCCATTATCCATTTCTTTATTTCCTTAATGCCAACTAATTCAATTTTGACATGACAACTCATAAACTGCAAACCATTCTAACCTAAGCAATGTGCGAAGCAATATGAGACGCCAAATTCGCGTTTGGATTTGTTCGGTAATACCTCCATGCTTATCAGGTAATACTCCATTAGAAACACACATTTCTGGCGAGTTTAGGGCTCATAACTTCATTGGTACCAAGTAGAGCTCAACATTAAATCGGGTTTTTGCTTTTTTAACAAATAAAACCTGTCCAACCGAAATCCTGGTGTTATTAAAATCACCAAAGAATCCAACATAACGGCAATTTAAAGCAGTCACCTAGAGAATTGTTCAGGATGACAATAAGCTCCATTAGATATGTAGTTTTTGAAGCTTCTTTGTTTTGTCTTTCAGAATTGGTGAAGCAAATGCGAATCCAAGGCGCTCCAATATATAGTGGTGGTGGAATGGTTACCTATGTTTCAAGCTGCAAGAACGGTAGATTAGCTTGGCGGTGAATGTACAAGCAGATCCAAACGTTGAAGGGCTCCACCGTATGTAGAATGGAGGATCAATGCCACGTGGAATCGCAGAAAGCATTTTCAAATACACTCGTTTAAGAAAAGTGCATTAACTCTGCAGGCCATTTTCATTAGCTGATGGGTCAGCAGTCAATAGAAGAAGGCGAATAAACAGACGTTATACGTAGTCGTGCCCTTGCTAGCCTCTGAGATACTTACTGAGCCTCAGGCTTTTCCATCCAGAAGGTTGATTGAACCTCACGTGGTAAAACCTCCAGCTACAACGCCCAGACAGCTTCGTAAAATTGAATTTATATCGATATCAGTTGGCTGTTTTGTTTGTTTAGTCAAAGATATATGTCGACATAACCTGGTATTCGGAAAGTATAACGGGGTTTTCTCAAATGTAGGTGGAGAAAAGGAAAAGTCATCCTCTGGAATAATAGGGAATCAGACGAAGTGAATTTGCACGGATGAGGTGGGAAGTGCAATGCGAACATTAGGGATCGTGGAGACAATGTAGCAATTGATGACGGCGATGTGAGAGTGGTTAATGCGACCAACACGCGTTGTATAGAGGGACTGCATGTGATTCGCATGAGCATCGAAATGGGCGGGTAGTATGAGGCGCTCAAATATAGTGGGTAGCTACTCAACAGGGGCATGCTTGCCTGTGTCTTATCATGTCACCACTGATATGTAAATGCGCAGATTTCGTGAAATTGTTCCTGGCTAAGGTGTTCAGTAATCCAAAGGGTGAACACTTTGAAATCTGGATAATACTGCGTAACTGACTCTGTCCATAATAGAAATCGCATTATCTTGTTTCAAAAATAGTATCTCAGATGAACTCAAATTTTCTTATAAAATCTACAGGAGAATTTAATTACAGCAGCATTACGCCGGCCCATTCCAGTATTCAAAACATCAGTTTTTGTTTTCTGCGGCTAAATAAACCTAAACTATAGTACTGGTCAGGTTTAAGAAGTGAGCAAAAAATACGCAATGTAATAAACATAAATACTCAAATTAGAAAGCTGCCACCATGTTGTTAGGTGAATAGATTATTTCAACAACTTGTAAGCCCGCACAACGACCCTTGATTGCAAGCTTGCAAGACCTCATGATTCGCTCTACCTGTCCCATCTTTGAAATATGCACCAAAATGAGCCAAACTAATTACACCCATTCCACTCGAAATGTAACTGTATCAACTGGCCTGCAGTACTCTATTGATGGAATGCCTTATCGCCTCTCTCGCTTTACTCGCTTAACAAAACTTCTGGCGTAGAACGAAGGCCATAAGTTCGGAAAACTACTGACAAAGTGTAGGGAACCTTGCACCATCACCACAGACTGCAGGGATAAAGGCACACCTACCGCTCGGGTCGGAGTACCCGCCTTCGATAGAGAATCCGAACACGGCCGAACTCAGGTAGACCGCCCAACGCTAGCAGGTGTAGACACCCACGTGCCCAATGAGATTTATTGCTTGAAATGGCGACACAAAATACACAAATGGGGAAGTATGCGGACAGAAGCAGTGGAGAACTCAACGGGGCCCACTTCGCACCCGCTTCCCCTTCTTTTTGTCTTTACCGTCTCTCCAGTTATTCACTTTTTTCTCCCCTATCAACGAGTGTCCTCGTTCACTGCTGTTCTGCTTTTTATTTATTTTACCGCATCTCACACCTGGAGCAAACTTCTTGTCTGTCGCGTTCAATCGAAGCACCTTCGGAGGTGAAAATTCATATTCTTTTCCTTCCTCCAACTCTTCCTCGTCTCCGGAGCTAAAAGAGTCCATGTCGACATCCATCGGTTCTGCCTCATTCTCGGTCTCCACCTCACTTTCCTCCTCATGCATTGCTCCAAGATCTGGATCATCACGCATGATGCGTTGGCGTCGGCTGTCTTTTCCGTCACTGTCATCATCATTTTCCTCGAAATCATCAATTCGGAATTCCTCCAATTCATCCTCATTACCGTTGGCGATCCCATCATCGTCATTGGCATCAACCTCATTCAATACTGCATCTAAATCAAAGTCGGCTTCACCAGAATCTGAGCTCTTTTCTTCCTTTCCCTCCAAGTTCTTACTCCTCCGGCCTGAACGCGGGATGTGGGTTACAGCAGTGCCATCATCAATGTCGTAGGAGACATCACTTGCCGTGTCGGAGTGGTCGGAGTCCTCCTCATTGAAGGCGAGAGAACGTCGCTCCGACGCCTTAAGACTCTTTGCCTTCGTAGACCCCTCCATCTCTTGAGCAAAATCATCCCCCACTTTCACATGCTCCTCACCCTGTAATAAGCAGAGGAAATTTGAACATGACATATTAATCCCGAAATATACGTAATCAATTAAACACCAAAAGCACCATTAGATGTGATGATTCGTTCAATGATGTGCAGCTTTCAAAGACTCCAGTGCACGAAAAACAAACCATGTGTAGACAACTACCACTGCTTAGTCGTTTCGAAAAGGCGAATTTCCCTTCCTTAAAAACAATGAATGATTAAGGCAAACAGGGAAAATGTATGCCAAAAGGCAAGTCACTCTGGGTGACTTGATTAATCGGGAAGACGCCTTGCTGTTGGTGTTTAGAAAGTAAACTTTTGTGATGAAAATCGCGTTAAAGGCTGACATGCGGAGTGCAAGCCTCTATTCAGGAGTTAACGTAGAGTAGGAACCGCCGGTGACTGAAAGAGAAATAGGTTTGCTTCACTCCTGCTTCTCCTGATGTCTTGATAGATATGCGCATAGTTCTAGTGATTCCAGACTTTCTTTCTTGATGTCAAAACAGCCCTCCTATGTAGTGCGAAATGGATTCCATTTATTTAGGCACTAATGACAGTACTTACTGACAAACGAAATGATACAGACACTATGATTCCGAATTCAGGTAACGTTTCCCAGATAGTAGAAGCACGAAGAGAAACGAGCTTCTCTTTGCATGTATTATCTTGTAGGTTGGATTGCATCTGAAGTTTCACCATCAGCGAGCCACATGTACCTGTGGTTCTTTCTGAACCAAATGATAACTACCAACTTCCCTACCTCGGTGTTTATTAGTTTAACCATGAACAGCTTGTTTGTGAGCTAAAATTTGCAGTATCAAAAGAAAAAATCAGATCATCATAGTGAAATAACCTCGCGAATGATTTACAGCCTTCTCCAGAGATGTCGAGATATACCAGAAACGTTCAACCCTAGCTTTCCAAATGCGTTTCCGAATAAGGCACCTGCTAAGCAGCCTGAGCAAGAGGGGAACCCACCTCAAATTTAAAACGTTCAGAGAGAGTGGCGAGTTCGCGGACGCGAATCTTGTGATGCATCAAGTAGTACGCAAGAAGAGGAGACTCCGGTTGCCCAAGTACGGACTCCAAAGCGGTCTAGAAGCCGAAAAGACTAGCAGAAAAAATCGGAGATCCAGAGCCATTAGGAAGAACCTTAACTCCACTTAGAATATCACCCAAGCGTACAACCACGAAATCGGCGTCAAGAAGACCGAAATGGATTCGAAAGTTACACAATTTTATCAACACATATTCGAAAAGTAGTTTGCGTAGACTAGCTAAATATTCAAAAAGAGGTTTCGAGAACCCTTAGGCGCAATAAATAAAGTGCATGAATGTTCCATCATTCGCATCAAATATAATTTATGAATTAGTTTATCAGCCATAAAGACGGTCATTTTGTACAGCCCAAATACATAGTTCAAAAGTAAACACTACTGACTTTAACAACAGCGGAAATTAATAGCAAGACACTCACAATCTCCCGCGAATCCAAAAGGCTCTTAATAGTAGAGCGTTTTCTTTTCACAAAATCTACGTGCTCTTTAGCCTTGGTAAGAAGGGACTTGAAATTACGGGTGAAATTCGCTACTCGACAAGATTTCAGAAAACCTCGCACCTAAAAAGAATCACAACCACATAATTATCGTCCTGATCGCCAACAACCTCAAAATAGCCTGAATTCAAAGACGTCATCTTTGAGTCAAGATACTCGTACGTGATTTTGAGGGCACGGTAGATAAAAAGAATGATACCTCCGAGAGGGCAGCGGCGGAATACTCAGGAAATGCGATGGAGTTGGCATAGAGACAAAGGGCTTCTGTAAGGAGATCGTGAAGCCAGTCTGCGACGGCGTCCATACAAGCCGTCTCCTTGAGTTGGGATGGAGAAAAGTGCAACATGAGACGCAGATCCATCGGAGCTCTTAAGTACAGTGAAGAAAGGCGCTTTACAATCAAACAAAGGTCTCGATAGTAAGAACTAGTTTTTAGGAGAACTCACCTGGAAGCAACACTAGCACGTTTGTTGAAGTCGAAGAGTTGAAAGACATCGAGAAGCAGAGGAAGACTTGGAACTAGCAATGTAGCAGAAGACTTCCCTTTTTCACTGCTACTATTGTCTTCCTGGTTGTACAGCCTTTTGTCGACTCCAGCAACCAAATGGAGGCATTCCACGAGATGGAAACGCAGCGGAATCCAGCGATTCCCTGGACTCAATCTGAAAAGTGACTACAATGAAAGGCCTACCTCACCGCACCGAGAATGACTTGCGTTAGAGGATGAGTGAGAGATTTTATGAGATCACTGGAGGCGGCATTGTAAGCCACAAATTCGCACCAGAATTTCAGACTACAAATGAATTGCCAATTGTAAACCGAACGAATTTCCTCCTAGGAGAGGAAAACCACAACTTCTGAAGAAGCTATGCACTCGAATACAACCAAAAAGTTTTGCGTAGCGCTTACTTTGTCAGCGTGAAGGAAGGCTTTACGAACAGTAATAGCCAGTTGTCGAATGAAGACGAAAGCATGTTTGTATGCCTCATCCAATTGCAAGGAATAAACCTCCAAAAGTCCCATCTTCATTAGGTCATTTTTGGCAATACTATTTCCATAGATGAATTTAGAATTCTTTACGTAGATAAGGTACATAGACTACGACATAACAGTAATGAAAATGAGGTCTTACTCTTGTGCAAGAACTAAAGAAGTCGGGATTTCGCTGAAGCGATTTTACAATAATAAGAAGTGCAAGGACCATCCTATCCTCAGAGTCTTGACTCCAGACAGCACATACTTTCTACGAATTCGCAATCAATCCAAAGGTAACAAACCTTAAACATTGACTGCAATAGTTTTGGACGTCTTGAAAACCGGTGAAGACGACTAAGTACCAAATTTAGGTCCAAAACATCGTCCTTTAGAATTGCTTTTAAAGCACTCTAAAGAGGAAATACACAACCCTTCTCACAACAATACCATCGTCACGCTCCAGATTTCGAAAAGAGCGGCACTGCTCTACAAGGCCACTAACAAATCTAATATAGGAAAAATTCCCAATGCTAAGTCTGACAACCAACAACTAAATTCCACATTCGGATGTGGTGTTTCATAACATGCATGTAAAATTGCACAAAAATAGATATACGTCTTTTATTAAAAATCATAGCTAATTGGGCCTGGGGTTATCATTTTCCTAGAAGTAATTTTAATTTAGTAATATTTTTGTCTTTTTAGCTAGTACGTTTAAATGCAGACAGTGCTTAATTCGCTCTAGTAGTTGGGTGAACGTAAAGATGGTCTCTTTTACCAAAGATTATTTGCATTTTATAAAGTATCGCGGCCATCAATGTTTTTTTGGAGTATTAGCCTATGGTGCTAACCAATAAAGATTGCGATGCGTCCGAGACTGTGCATGCAGAACCTTGTTTTTCCTTTCATCCAGCTCTGGCCGGAAGTATCCCAGCAGCAGTTTTTACTAATTTGAATCCCATTCAATGAGTAAGTTGAGCAACTTCTACACTTATTTGATCGTTTTATGTTTATGCAATCAGTATGAGACAATTTTGTGCAGCCATCACAAATTGTTAAGAGAGGTCTGTTGCGTCGCAAGATATTTCTGAAGACGAAAGAAGGCATAATACTCGGGTAGAACACATAAATTCGAAGCGCAGTAGGGCTTGAGGCTACTGGGATTTACAAAGAACAGCCCACGCGGCGACAGTACTGCGGCGGAGGCCCAGAGTGCTTCTTTACCAAAATCGAGAATTGAATAAACAATCAACTTGTTGCATAGCTCCTTTCCTCTTTTGAGCATCGTCTCCAGCGCTCTTCTTGGTCACTCCCATGTTAGTCAATGCTGTAAGGAAACGCTTACGAGCCAACCGTGGCAGTTATCGAATTCCAGCGAAACTGAGGAGGCAGTAGACTGCAACATCGATGATCCCTCTTGGCAATTCTACTGGATATGAAGTTTCGCCCTGGGTGGGAACTGGATTAGAGGACGGGGATAAGTGTCCACTATCACACATGTGTCCATCGCTGGTCGTAGACACACTAGCCCAAAAGCAGTCATGTGAAAAGAACGGGATTTGACATAGTCATGTGGAAGTAACTTTTTACTTCTACACCTTGCCATGTCTTTACTTCAGATTGCCCAGCCGTAGCCATTTGCGTTCTATCCAGCTAAGAGAGATGTGGAGGAGGCATCGGATTTTCACATAGTTAATATCCTTATGCAGGCACAGTAGGCAGCTCCGTAAAGAAGCTTTTCGAGATGGTTCACGGTTAGTATTACTTTGGATGTTAATAGCTTCCCTACGGAACACGGAACTGGAATGGTTGCCGAAGATGGACGCCACTTTTGAACCTTCTGTTGGAAGCCTTCCAGATTCTACTGTCCGTAGCATATGCATTTCCTTCGCCACGTTGATGCTTAACACCCAGCAGTATAAATCGGGATAAATTCCTTTAAGATCGGGTTCGCTTTCCCCTGCCACTAATGTAGCTCTCTGAGACAACCATGAAGACGAAAGAAGGCCTAATTCTCGGGCAGAACTTATGTGTTCTACACTCGGAGGCCAGCCCACCCAGCAAGGTTACAAGGGTGGGACCCAAAGTGACCCTTTTCCGAAACTGGGAGTTAAGCGGCTAACGTATTTCAGGACCACTTACTGTGGGCGGGAAGATTTCAATAAGAGGTTCAGCGCCTCACGAAATGTTGACGCTGGCAGCAAAGACGCTGAACGCCCTTCCACCCCAGCAAGCATGAATGACCCACCTGTCGATCGTTACACTAATTGCACTCCTCGCTGGTAACTGCGCGTGTTTTCGCGCCGTGTAAGAATCAAAACCTCCCACAGTAATAATTGGCGGCGAACCATCACATTCCGCAAGGATCCACAATCCCCTGGGTCTCCTCATTTCAGCCCAAAACAATGTTATCTCAGCAGGTCCATCTAACATTCATTTCAAATTATTACCACCAAGGCCTTCAAAATAAACAATAAAATACCCCACAACTACTGCTAATTGCTTTATTCTTCCCACACAAACCGTGAGCAATACATTTATTCACAAAAAACCGATGCCTGAAAATTCAATGGATGAGAAAATTGAGAGATGGAAGAGAAGAGTTCGATAGAAGGGAAATAATCCAGACAATAACACGGCTATCCATCTCCAAACACATCACCAAGCGCCCCAACCATCATCATCGTCCTTCTTTTCCACTTCTACTGGCTTTCGCGCAGCCACTGGTGTTTTGAAGTGTCGCAGAGCAGGTGAGTGATGACCAGAGGCGATGGAAGCTCTCGAACTGCCGAAGGTGGATGTGCTTTTTGAGCCGAGCAACTCATTAAAGAAATCATCCTCAGATGCTACGCACTTCGCTTGCTCCCAAGCTCCGATCGTCGTGATGCCTCCCACCGACGTCTTTGATGTGCGCAGTGACGCTGCTGACACTGTTGGTGGCGGATTGAGCAACGATGCCTTTACAGGCTGTGGTCGCAGTGCGGGCGCAGCAGAGGCGGTGGCGCTGGTGTTCCAATCAGTCGCCTCCTCCTCGCCCCATTGCCAGTCCTGCTTCACCGACGACTTAATTGACTGTGGTGACACTCTCGGCTGTGGACCGAGCGAAGACGCTTTATTGATCCGTGGGGATGACTGATGATGCTGTTGCAGACGCATCGACTCGTCCCAGTCAATAAGTAGGTCATCGGGTCGCTTTTGCTTCAGTACAGCCGCGGGTGACACTGCCTTTGGAGTGACAGGGAGAGACGAAAGATCAAGTTTACCGTCTTTGTTACCTTCCCAACCTCCTGCATCGTCTACAAGGTTGCACAAAAGAGCAAAAGGGTTAGCCGTGAAGCATCATGCCATGTTTTGTTGACATGAGAAGAGGGATTCAATGCACAAATCTGCAGAGGATTTCTTCCTCAGCACCGTCAGTATAATTAACTTTGATAGCTCCTTTTCAAATCTTGAAATAATATTTGATGTGACTGGGAAAAATCTACCAAATCAAACTTTAGCGACAGGGCTGGTGGACACTCGGGGGCTAGCACTATTTCAGCGTTGAAAATACAACAATCAGACCTAGGCATGAGAAGAAACAACTTACCTTCACCATCATCCTTATCATCAAGATCTTCCCAGCCGGATCCTGCTGGTCCCTTCTTTCCTTTGGTGTCACCCTCCTCTCTTTCTTCCTTCCACTCCGTCATATTAAATGAGAAGTTTGGTTTTTTAGTGACTGCTGCATCCGCTGTTGCTGTTGATGAGGCCATAGAACCTGATCTCTGTTGTTCACTGACTGCCGTCTGGTAACCGTTGTCCAACACTAAACTGGGCGTTAAGGCGCCTTCAATGCAGAGAAAAAGTGATTTCGTGATTCGTCTTGCCACGAGTAAAAACAAATCCAGGTTTTTTAAGGAGACAGATGTCTCCGTTCAATGATAAGTATTTGATTATCGAGAGGCCATCAAGCGAGTGCCTTAAATTAAAAGACCAAAGCGGATATCGCAAAACAAGCAACGTCTACCTGAAGCAGCTTGGGTTGCATGTTGCGCAGCCACAGTGGAAGAGGTGGAGGAGGAGGATATGAGACGGGAGGAGATTGAGGAGAGTGCAGTAAGTGCCCAATTGCCAATAGTAGCGCCGGCGGCAGTGAGTTTTCCGCCTGCTGCTGCGACCGCCGTGGCTCTCGATGAGGGGGCGTGACCGCCAAGCACCGAGGTGTCCGCATCACCCATAGAGGGATCTTCGCTGGCCTGTGACAAACGATTCACTGCATTGGAACCGTTGTAATCACATACACGATTACGTGGAATTTGGGATAATCGCCAGGGATGGGGTAAGAAGACTTGAATGAATGAAAGTCGTCTGTACAGGAACTACTCACAGAGTTGATACAAAAGCAGCGACCTTTTAGCACTACTTGGCTATTTAACGTCTATATACGAACCAAGAAAACCAATAAGAAGACAACAGTAGCAAGGGAAGGAGTATTTGATATTGCTGTAGAAATCGAGGTTGACATCGCTGTAAAATGCTGGCTTTAGAACACCTCTAAGCCTTCGAACAAATCTTGGCTCATGTCACCTGTGAAGAGAAGTCTTCGGGCCTTCCCTTCCAGGTATGAGTATCAAGTAAAGCTACGAGGTCTTATAGAGAGGTAATAGTCCTAGATTCTGGATAATCCTATGATTGCAACGAGTTTGGCATAAATCCAAACTGCAAGCAGGACAGGTGGTAATTGAAATGCCTAACTTGGTATTTATAATTACCAAATTCAAGTCATGGACAATTCACCAACGATTTCAACAGCAAGTAGCTGTTTAGAAGACGCTGACGTGAAAATCACGATCCCAAAATGAGTGAGCGACACAGATAAGAAGTATTCTGCATTTTCACCAAAAGAATAAATATATAGGGATCAATTTAAGGAATCTCAACATTCAGGTTATGAGCTCAGGGTGGTAACGTCGGTGATGAAGAAGTATTGGTGATTGAAATGTGTAACTACTATGCAGGGTTGAGGTCCTATTGGACCTTGTTATACGGAGTTCTACTATCCACGGTGTAGCTTCTCAACGCCAGCAGAGAAAAGCCTGAGGGGTGGGGAAGAATCATTAAGAGGGGGGCGAATATTTGTGTTCCGCGACTTATGTGTTACCTTTCTAAGTGAGCATTGCATTTGAGCATCAAGCATAACAGTTTACTCAAGGTGGACAAACCTTCTCCAAGCGTTCGACCATTCCATGCAGCGCCTTGAGTGCCGTATCCCGAATGTCCTTGTCCGTATCTACAGCCACGAACGAGAGACAGGGGATTACCTTTCCAGCCAACTCCTGAGCCGAGAAGAATGCCTGAAGGTGGAGGTAGGATGACCATCATAAGGAAAACCGGGATGAGTAAGCCCAGTAACACTGTCACTGTCAATTACTTGACAAGCGGCTAGACCTGTAACAGCGGCCTGACGGCTGGGTGGAAAGGGGTCACGGGTGGCGCGGAGGAAGGCGTTCAGTAGGGGACCACGACGCACCCTAGGGTCCAGACGACTTGCCAATTTGGCAAGGCATATTGTTGCGTTGGTGCGGATGCCGCCCTGCTCATCTTTGAACTGTAAATAGAAGGGACATTTCACAGATCCTTTGCATTTAATTCAATAGATTGTATTGGTAATTTACAGCCGAATCAATCTTTAAAAGCAGCATACAGTTGCAACACCAACCTAATTTCTCGGTGCGTGGAGGCGTTTTTAAGAAAATCAGAATTAATAGAGTGGAAGAAAGCAATTCCTTTAACAGAAACCAACTTTAGCAATTGGATATCCTTCGCTTCTCCGAACCACTCCTACTGCAAGCTAACGACACCACTACGCAACAAAAGTAGGTTGTCAGAAAGGCCTTCTCTCAGCCCATTTCACTTACTTCCAGCTGAGTCAAATGCTTCACCAGAGCATCATTAAGTATTTTCGGTGGCAAGGAGGGCGCCAGATGCACCATGGCGCGTATGGTGGCCTCCCGCACAAGCGGGTTGGCGTCAGTGAAACCCGCGGAGACGGGTCCGAAGATCTGCGTTTCCACTAGAGCCTGCGGCAGCTTGTCTACGAAACGCGGCAACTGGTCGAGCAGGCGAACACGAGTAGAGCGATCGGGTGCAGCAAAGAGACGCACCAAACCTGGCACCACCACTACCTCGAAGTCCTCAGACGGCAGGAGGTGGGCTAACTCGAGCACTGGGACTAGCGCCTCCACGCCTGTGGAACCAAATTGGAGGCTATTAACCAGATGGGGCAGGATCTGAAACAGGTAAAACTTCCTTTTTACGTCTCTCATGGTAAAAGTTGCGATTATACGATTAAGAGAAGACTGGGTAGCCTGGCTGCGCCCACACCTTCCACGGATTCAAGTCGTAATACAGTCGATACAATCAAGAGGTATGTCAAATTGAGGTCCGGGAGCTGATAGAAATGGTAAAGTCATTAATTGAGCACCGCGTAAACAACATACAAACTGTATACTGTGCCCCATATGGTTGAAAGTGCACACGAGCAGGCGTTTCAAGTGGTAGATCGGCCAGCACCCGTTAATCATTGGCTGTTCCATGCCTCTTTTTCAAGTTTAGTCGGCAATAACCGTCATTCCAGCCTTAACAGATGACTTGGGATCAAATAACAAATCCACGTAACTAATACACTCTCCCTTCTCCTCAATCATTAAAAAAGAAGATAGGAAAGAAATGGGGAATTTTGCTTACCTTGTAGCGACAGATATCATCTGGAAACAGTCCCACAGCTCGCTCTCCCAGTTTCCCCAAAAACTGCGCCTTCTCCTCCTTGTCTTTCAACTGAATTTCCTCTAGAAAGAGGAGTGTATCGATGTAGTCATTATGGAAGAATCCCACCTTCAGAAAGGCATTAAATGGCGAGCGAGCACGCGAGGCAACCAAAGGAGTTCGCGTTGCCAAAAGGCGCCGATAGGGTGCCACCAGAGGCCGCGGTAGACGCTCCAGACTCGCCTTCGCGCCCAACTGACTGGCCTCTATCAACGGCTCGGGGTTGAAAATTTCCCAGATAAGGCAAGCTAATCCCCAGGCGTCAATGCAGTGGCCACTAGGTGGACAATAGGCGGCTGTGAAAGAAAGAAAAGCTCACCTCTTCTTAGGACTAACCCGTCATTCTATATACTATCAGATCCTACCTACCTGGTCGATAGATGTTCAACTTCTGTTCACCAGCTTCATTTAATGGAGTGACGTAATCCAACCTTCCCAACTTCCACTCACTAGAGCGATTTACGTAGACAGCAGCGGCACAGACCGCGTTATGCGAGAGGTGACAGTCATCATTAAGAAAGCCCAGGGCCCGAGTCACCTGATAAATGCCCCAGGAGGCAAGGAAAGCAAAATTGCTGCTACTGTCGGCCTGTTCGCGGATGTACTCTAACAGAGGACGAACCTCCTCCGTGATGATGTGAAATGGGGCTTTGAGTTGCTCGGTTCCCGCTAGCCAGTTGAGGATGTTGGGATGACGTAGGGTTTTCATCCTCTTCACGGCCTGGGAGAGGACGGCGGTAGCGGCAGCGGAGTCGGAAGAGGGGAGGCGGAGGCAAGAGAAGATGGTGACACGATCGCTGGATTTGCGCTGAGAGATGGCGGACTGACGCAGCCAGTGAAGATCGAAGGGACCAGGGAGAAGCTCCTCAGCTGAGGGTGGGAGGAGGGTGTAGGAGGCGAGGGAATCGTCAGACCCGTAAGAGCCCAGAACGGAGCCAAGGGTGGAGGCCGAGGTAATGCTCTCCGAGGTCTTACCCGAGAATATCCACATTGTCTACTGAAGTGGAATTAAGTAGCGTTAATAAGGATGGAGTGGGATAAATGAGCCGCGTGATGGGGGGAGTGGGAAGAGCAAATAGAAATGATTTCGGTATGTTGAAGGATGACTTAACCAAAATAGATCTGGACTTTTGAAATCAGAAATACATTGAGATAACACGAAATTCTACAATGCTAGAAACACAAATGAACAAGGTGCAAAAGGGTTGGATACATTTCAGCGTCACGCTTGAGCCAGATTTCATTAAAAATGCTATTAGAGGACCAAGAAAAGAAATGATACGACATGCGTGAATAGTGGATGGTATGGCAACATGAAAACCCCAATGAAACCTTAAAGAAGACTGACCTCATCAGGTACTCTGTGTGCAATACTAAGACACACGAATAAAACAGGGAAGCATGAATTGAGGAGTGACAGTCATCATAAACTTGCACATATATTAACCATTTTTTAGGTAGAAGTAACAAGGTGGTGCACCTGAGAAGAAAGGGCAACAGGTCCTAAGAAGATGACTCAGTAGCACACACCTGTGCTTCTCACTTATTGTAATTGGAGGTAGTTGACGAGCTTGACAAAACAAAAATCGTGAAGTGGCGCTTGTAATTAAAATACTTAGTGATATTCCAAGAATAGAATACTTTTTTGCATTAAGAAGGCTTCTATGACAGGCGAGTCCACTCACCTTGATATATGTAGAAAATATCAAGACCAAATTGTATCATAATACGAAGAGAGCACTGTCCGAGACAGGACATACCAAAATCAACACACTCTTTCTCAAATCACTAGCATGCTTTCGAAAGTGTCAACAAAACATCAACTCAGCAGAAAGTGGCAATCATGGCTCGTTAAATCTGCAACAACTCTTGGTTATGCAAACATAGGAAGAAATATCCAAACATCAAGGGGTCCACAGAACACCATTCAGGGAAGAAAAAACGCCGCATATATCCCGTTAAACACTTGGAAATAGGATTAAAAACCACAAACTACTGTGACAGCGTGGCCTCCTAGGTGCTCGCAGCCCCACAATTTTAAAAAGTCGCCCTGGACTATAGATAAAAGGGAGAATCCCAAGAAACTGTCGCGGCACTTTGTGACAAAGATCTACACTGACGAGTTTTAAATACAATTAGATTTATTTTACTTATAGAGCAAATTTTTTGACCTGGCTCTTACACACATAACGCCCAAGTACACACCTGGACAAATGATATGCTATTTTTCTTTTTTTCTTTAAAAATACTAATGCATAATACTTTGGATCCAGTGAGCTACTTTATACTACTCCGTTGTTAACATGCTCATGTATCCACGTTACGCCACAATTGCACTTGTTTAAGGCATAATCGCAATTACTTCTGGCTCGGGAGTTGCATTTATGGTATAGCGTTCCGAGTCTTCTCCGAATTCGCAGCAAGCTAGAATACCGTGGGAGAACACATCACTAACGCATAGAAGATCTGACAGGCAACTAGTACGGTCTGGAATTTGTGTCGCAGAACTGAAATACAACTTGAAGAGACTGAAGTACCTTAGAAGTTCAAAACACCTCTGAACAACACGTTAAATCACTGCGAATCCCCTTCTGGTTAGTTTCCCACTTCGCTCATCACATCGTATCTAGTACTTTATACACAACCTTACGAACCAACAACGTCAACCACTTGATTTTCTTTCGCATGAGAAGGTATTTGATCCCAAATTCACCAATACATCCCGGCAGTCCCATTGTGGCCACAACTTTGTCCTACATGGGAACTGCGTTTGAGAATGAGAAATGCATTGACCACATTTCTTTCAAGGCTAAATGAGGCTTCACAACATGGGCTTCTCGCATGCCAATCGCGAGCTTCGAAATAATTCCATGGAGCTAACACCCTAGACTTGTTCCTCCTTGCCACTGCTCTTATTTCAGTGATGTCTGTCCATCTATCGACCCATCTATCTGCTTGGCTTCCATTCATTTAGTAGAGGCGTGGAGGTGCTGTTCACGTAACTAATGCCTTGATGCAGCTATCATGGACAGCTCCATAATGGACACTCGTAATTGCTTCAATTCTGGTGTCGCTTACTTGTAAATAGCATTCTTGGGGAATACTGGATTGGGGTAGCTACCGAAAGCAGACGCGTGTCCGCAACGAGAGTCCCTCCTCCGTGAAATTATGGTTCAGGATTCAACCATAGGACTCAGGTTGGTTGCTTTCTTGGATCGAAGTTGCTTGCCTCCGCCACCACGGCAGCGCCCCAAGGCGTAATAAATCAAAGTAGCATGGCAGAACGGGCATTGACGACGCGCAGAAGAGCCGGGAATCCATCAGCATGACCCGAATAGTTAAATACAGGTAGATAAAATACCGACCCACCGCAGCAATGAAGAACAGTACCGAAAAATATCTACCGGCATCAAAACGTCCGGTAAATCTGTACGCATAACGACAGTCACCACGTCTAATGGAGAGTTTACTGTTAGGCTCCTCCCCCACACCCCCACTCTGGAATATCCCCATTAAGACGACTTCACAAAGAACCGATACTGAAATCAGATCGAGCTTCCTCAAACTGACTTAACGGAGTGTAATTAGAATGTTAAACATTTCATTGCTAATCAATACACTCAAGAACGAATACAAAACAAAATACAGACTTCACATGCATATCAGGACATCCTTTGCCCACGGAAATCCACCTGCTTCCCGTACAAAATTAACAAGCCATATTCCCACCAGTAGTAAATAAGCGACCCCGCAACTATGGTCCAAACGAAAGAAATTCGGCTCACGGACTGTACACAATACCGTCGCCTCGAAGCGCAGTTGGCAAAAGTAGCAAGGCACGATTCTGCCTTTCAGTAAGGGACGCATCTTCAAACGTATTACCGGTAATAATAGTAATAATAAAAGTATTAACGATAATACGGGGTCTAATGATTAGAAATAAAGCAGTGCAACAGCAACAGACTGAACGCCGCAACGACTGCCACCACGGGTGTGGTACCAAGCCAGCCTAGTCAACCTTGACTACGCGGTAGATTTTACGAGTGAAGATGAAACATGAGAGGAAGCCCACGCTGCCTGAAAGGTGGATTAAAAAAAAACAAGTGCTGTGAGCGCAGTTGCCTACGTAACTAGGAAAAGCACACAACCTCACACACACCAAGGTACTATTAGATTTCAACTGAAACGTGGCCTTGCTCGTGTGATTGCTGAGGTACTAGCAAGGACGCACTGATAGCATGAGCCTGGTGAGTTGATAGTTCCACAATGAAATGGATTTGATCGGTAAAATTTACTACCACCAAATTGAAAATGACAATAGGGTTGTTTGGAAAGACGCAAGCTTATGAGTTCTACAAGCCTGGCGGTGATAGCGCTATAAAACAACTCCTCTTAATACAAGGAGGGGAGTAGATAGTGCTCGGTGAGAGTTTGGACATCAAAACCCACCAAATCGGTACCGTTAGTGGTACTTTTAAAAGGGTCTGCAAAGCAAATCATGGTCAGAGAAGTCAAAAGTCACTACCATTGGCAGATTAGAGCTTCACCATTGATTAGACAATAGTACCAGAATGTTTGAAACCTAAGTGTCACCTAGTAGAGCTCCTTGGTCCGATCCAAGCAACCCAGCCATGTCAGCACGAATTACTGGCCTTCCTCTTCAAAGAACAGGATACAAGAGGTAGTAACCACAAAACGTAATGTCTCACATAAGGTAGAATAGGGACAGGTGAGGCGACTCCTTAAATTATCACATCCTAAAATTGTGATTAGGCGCCTCGGCTGGAGATGTACCAAATGCGGGTACGCATAAAAACGCCGCAAAATTCACTCTTCCACATACAAAGACTCTTTCCGCTCGTAATTAAGCGGTGCCAGAGAGACAAGACAGTGGAGACGGCACAGGGATCACATATTAACAAATTAAAACAGCAAAGCCTGCTACTCCACTCACGCACAGCCAAGCGTAAAAACACCTCCTACCCATCATCACTGAGTTTCAGCGGTAATTTTAACACGTATGCTGGCTTTACTAAAGACTTCGCATAATACACCAATTGGTTGAACAGTATCCTCAACATAGCTCCAAAGCTGATTAAAAGCCAAGAAAGGTGCCAAAAATCACCCATCAAAAAGCGCCTCTGTATACCATAACACCTCGATTTGAAGACCGCAGATGTCTGCCCACCATTCTCGAGTGTTAAAGCAATGAAGTCATTTAGTGGATTTGTAAAGTGGAAAAAAGATCCTTGATTTTCGAATGCGCCTGTACTTTGAAGGCTACCTTTAGAACAATGGAGATAGAGGAATGCCTTTCGTAGTCACTTAATCACTAACCAACCCCAGGTTTCGTCTTCGCTACCACTGAAACAGTGTCGAGAGCCAGTTTAAGTGCATGTACTTTGTTACTCAATCTATGCTATCAAGTTATGGAGCTGTAAGGGAAAAGAAATTTGAATAGGCATTACCCAAAAGAAAGTAGTTCTAAGTCTACCTCCAGAACAACGGAAGAATCCATGTATTGATGAAGAGGAAACTGATTGAGTATGAATGCTAGACTAGATTCGAGAGCAGCAAGCATCAATATGGATACCTTTGACTCCACAGCCGTTTTAGATCCTCCCAGCAAGCAAAAAGCTCAGTCAAAACCTCCTGCCTGACGATTACGTATCGAAATCGCACAGGTGATGTCACCATTCAACTTGTACTGCAGAGAAAAGTAGGAATGTGGAAGAATTTGACACTGAAAGTAGCACATTACAGCCGCTTAATCACATATCCGTTATGCTGAACTGCTTGACTGCCTTCAATTACTTATGATTTCAAAGCAAAGATGGCCACACAACAAAGAGCTCAAGGTAGTACCTAGGTTCCATCGAAACGATGGAAAAGTTAGAGTATTAATTAGTGATAAGCATATGCTACAGCCTTTTTAGATTTAGCAACACAGCTGCCACCATCCTCAAGTGCTAACGGAATAAAGAAAGTCGTTGAGACTTATAACTAGTCTGTCCAACTCCCACAAGAAGGTTCACGAATAGCTTCAAAGATCACAACTCCGTTTGAGGCCTTCAGGATTATTTGACGGAAGAATGAAATAGGTGACTAGGGTAGAAAAGAAGGAAAACGGTTTTAATTCGAGGGGCATGATGAGCATCAAGCCAGAGAAAAAGGGTAGAGATTGTCAAACAAGAATCAGCACACCTATTTCTAAATCAACTTCCAGAGAATAGGATAAAATAATGTCCAAGAATTGACAGATTCAATACGATGAAAGGAAGCAAAAAAATGAATGTGGAAACATAAATCAGAAAACAAATTCAAGGGGGGGGGGGAAGGTAAATGAGAATTTAACTCACCAAGCATGATGAAGAAGAGCCCAGAGACGAGAGTGGTGCAGGTGAGGTATAGAAAACCGGAGATAAAGCCCTTGTACTGCGTCTTGAACAGATAGTAATGCACCGCATAGCCTAACACATAGATTGCTGTTGATCCACCCGACAAGAAGGAGCGCCACCACCAACGGTAATTCTTTTCAAAGTGGGAAAAAAGTTGATAACCATGCGCATACGTAAGTACCTACCACCCCGTTTTGAAGACTCAGGTTATCGACAGCTATGTACTTCAGCCATATGGTGCTATACTAGAGTAGCTGATATGGCACGGATGGAAGGTGGATCAAGATAAAGAGAAAAACAATGTGTTTCGTTTAACCTTGGAATAAATAGCACAACAGTGAAATATAGTGTACAACTGAACGCCTTCTATTCAACGGGGGATCAAGTAACCACCCCAGAACAGAGAACCAATTTCAGGACCCGAAAAAAGGCTTCGCTTCTTTGGTTGCAGAACAACAGGCAAGGTACAGAATCACACTATGCACCCATTCCCACTTTGAACACGTTTTGAGCCGTGCTTGGTAATATTTTCACGTGTTGCCCCCATATAAGTTTACGAATTCCAAATTTGCGTTCCACTATGAAAGGAACCAAACGGATCGTGCCAAACATCACTTAGGAACGCTAAAGCTGCAACGATAGCTCAGGTGAGGAATTCAGTTCTACTTGGCGTGAGAATGATGATCTTAGTGATGCAGGACGAACATAAAGACGCCCAGGAATTTATACTGCGCAGGCCTACCTCTTAGAAGAGAAAAACACGTTTCCGCAAAACTCTATATCAGCTGGGAGCATTTCACTCCAACAGATTCCCTCCTAAATCGTGAAAACTACAATTTCAGCCATACCAGAGCGTTCGTACAAAGCCGAGTGTCTGTGCAGCGAATGGATTTTACCAGTAAGAATTCATAAGAAAATCTTTTTGGCAATCGACATACTGGAGATTTGCAGTTGTTCGCACTCTGTTCTGTGCAATCAGCGCGGAGCAGAGCAAAGTACCCTTGCATCAATTTACCTTTGACTAGGAGACTTTTAAGCCGCACTAGAATGCAACCGAGACAATTTAGCTACTTTCATACCAAATCGAATAGCTCACTTTCGGGATTAGAACGAAAATCACTGTCAAACTCAATCAGCATGATTAAGTTTCCACATCCTTCGTCAGCCAAAACCCATTTTGTTAACGGCAAAATGAGAAGACAGTTTCCCCGTGGAGGTTCATCTATTGGAAAAAGGAGTCCGAGACAGCTATTCAGTCACCTAACTTTGCTTATTTGTTTCAGAAAGTCCAATGCTAAGAGGAGAGCTAATTTTACTCGCAGGAGTAGCCCGGACAGAGCTCTCGTAACCGCTTGAGCATGTGCTAGACATATACTATCCCCCACAAAAGATACCCCGCTTATACAAATGTTTCAAGAAAATTTTGCGGCTAGAAAGATCTACTAGTTAAAGTAGTGTCAAGGAAGCCAGGTTCAGGTGGATAATTCTGCTGGGGCTTACAGCAGAGAAGCTACTGAAAGATCAGCTTTAGGCAGCCATCTAAATACCTTCACAATCAGTTTCATAAATAAAACTGCTTATAACCGTTCTTAAAAAGCGGGCGATGAGCATGATAATGTGAGGGTAGCCCAAATAGGTTTTGCCAGAGCATTAAAGTGAAAGCCGTGGGAGAAAGAAATCAGGACAAAATCCAAAAGAGGCACTACAATCTAAACACATAACCTGTCTTAAGAGTGCATACAACAAATTTTTCAGTAGAATTGACAAGCATAACTGCTCGTGAGGTCTAACGATTTGTAAGTTAGTACCCACTAGCTTCCCGCTCTTAGCCAGAACAGCAAGCTTTCCTAGGATGGTCCAGCCGCGCTGGCAAATCCTTCCATGAAGAAGGCGCTTCCTGGGCATTAGTTAAGGTTGTTATCAGTGCATAAGTTTAGTATCAGAGAAGGCTAAAAAAATTATTGGTGCTTCCGCCTCTTAAACTTTTTTGCCTCATGTGTTTTGTGAATTCATAAGTCTCGTTTTCGTTTGAGCATCTCGAATCGCATTGAACCATTTTTGTTATCAAACACTTTTTTGTACAAGGAGCCTGTGATTAGTTTTTATTAACATCCACGATAACGTTAGCCCCCCAGTCTTATCGTAGAGTTATGGGAAAGCTACCTCAAGTCTCGTATGCCTCAAGGTTTTCAGAGATAACTCGAGTGCTGCAGTACCCTCATAACGGCACTAACAGATAGACCTCAACATAACGACTAACCTCAGCACAGAGCTGGAAGTAGCAAGTGAGAATGGTGATCTCAACGATGCAGGCAAGGAAGAACACAAATACGAGGAACAGAAAGCCGAACATGAAGAAGAGCTGCTGACCCCAGATGCTGTTGAAAATAAAGAAGAGTTGCACGAAGATACAACCGAAAGGCAGCAAACCAGTCAGCAGCATTGCCGGCAGAATGCGGGTGTAACAAGCCTGTGGAGGCACCTGCCTTGGGATCTGGTTAGTCCGAGTGGGCACTCGGATGACCTGAAAGGAACCAATCAGATTTCGAGAAGACAACTTTTCTCCTCTGACACTGTGGCCACTTTACACTCGCCATCTGAGGCTTGAGTGATGACGCAATGCACTCAGCCTAGCTATACATAATGTAATGTGACAATCAACTGAATGACAAGGCTTACCTATTGATGGTCCGGATGTGAGCACCAAATGGCAATGGCTTACTGCTTCCAAAATGTTAGTTTACAAATGGCAAAATACATCAAACAAATCACCGAAAGCGAGTGACTCTACGAGGTTTCGTAACTGTTAGTGGTCATAAAAATACGTTGTGACGATATTAAACGCAAATAAACCGAAAAACTATCCCAATCAAGATTCCTTTAGTCTCTAACACCTTAAAGAAATCTTCCGGGGTGTCGTTTAGCAGTGCTTGCCTTCAAAAGCAGTTCCACTGCTACAATGTTTCGTCAACAACACAGCACTGAGACTTGTTGGTACTCCACCCATTTGTAGGGAAGCGGCAATACAGATATTCATACCTTTAGTCTCCAACCGCTTCATACCAATATGGTGGCAATTCACAGATAAAAAGGCCCCCAAGCTACTGATGCTATTCACACATCCAGTCCCCATTCATCACCACCATTTAGAATGCCTCTATCCACATATGCCTACGCCCTAGAGCTGTTTTCTGGAGCCAATTGATCACAGCTACGTTGTATCATTGACTCAGAATAGAGGTATGCTCCTATCACATCGTATGGTAATGCCTCACGTCCTCCTAACCCGGTATCATTCGGTACGGTTGCAAAAACATTCATAAAAGTCTACATCCCATTACTTCTCTTTAATCAACATCGGTATCGGTATAAATCCCCTCAGAACTAAAAGGAGTACAATTTAATCAAACAAACAGATAAAAAGAGACTTAGGAGACCCACCTGTTGCCTAAATCCAAAGAAGGCACCAAAGAAACAGAGAGGCAGGGAGACCAGGAGCCACATGGCAAGGATGGAGAGGATGGCGGTAAATGAGACGGCAGCAGAGCTGTTAAGAGAGATAAGAACTAAGTTGATCACCAGAAAGACACTCATCACAAGGCCAGGACAGAAGAGGCCCGTCATTAGGATGTTGGTCTTCCAGCGTAGCCCACCGAAGAACTTGTAGAGTCGAGCTGAGGTGTAGCCTGCAGTGTAAGGAAATGGTGCGTTTTAACAACGTTGATCTTTTCAGTCAGTAGCGATTTTGTCTACATATTATCTTATAATAAAGTCATCTATTAGACTCAAGAATTGTTGCGGCCTTAAAGATGGAGCGGATACGATGGCAGGAGTGAGCGAGCCCACCCCAAAAATGATAACAACAATTACCGTTCTTTTTGGGTAGATTTTGAACCCAAAGGATTCAGAAGAAAGTTACCGGTCGTTGATGGCTGAATTCGGAGACCCACAATGAGAGACCAGCAAATACCCAAATCTAACAAATGTCCCGACTTCGAGTTCCGAAATGGAGTCAGTAATGAAGCAAAGCCCGGTGTTGTCTATTTAGAAGCGTTCTTAAAGCAACTGCAGACAAAATTCCAGTGAAATTGCTTTAAGCCATCCACATTAACAGACGACTGGTTGCTTTTTACGTTGCATTAGGGTGAGAATAGACCAGGTGAACGGCTGAGTAACCCACACCTACGACCATCACTTAAGCCGAAAGTCCGCCCTGGGTAATGGCAAATTGCTGCACAGTCTTCGATACTATCTCGCAGATGATTAAAATTCACGTGAATGACAGCAATGGTCAGAGAGGAAGAGCGATCACGAGGGACTTCGCGGATGGCACTCAAGAGTGAGGAGGTTTTGAAATGAAATGATATTCAGTTAACTGCATATCTTTACTACACAGGTCTTCTCGGGCTCAAACAAGTCGACCTCTTGATTCATCAGCACGCTTAAAATAAGCCTACATCCGGAAAGAACGTACCAGCAGAGGCACCCAGACAGACAAAGACAGCGATGGCACAGGTGGCGAAGGCGCCACGGTGGATGGGCGAGAGGATACCGAAACAGGCGAAGAAGAGAGTGATAACGGACATGAGAGCCATCTGCACGCCGGAGCCGATCAACACAGCAAATAGCATAGGGTAGCGCGGTGCCCGGAAGACGTCACCGTGAACTAGCTTCCAGCCGAATTCCTCTTGAGTCTCGTTAGGCTTTAAAGAGTGATGGGATGGAAAAAGAGTAGATGAAATGCATAAAACTCACTTCGAATAGCCCACACACAAATTTTAGCAAATGGTATTATTATGAAGGCGGTATAAGCGCGATAGCAGAATGGAGACTTTGTTTGAGTAATGTACATTTAACAGTGCAAAGCCTATGAAATTTGGTCCCTAGATTGGGATAGAGAAAGACTATGAATTAGGCTATTTTGAAGAAAGACCAATTCTTCTTCGAACCTCCCGATTCCTCAGGTCATCAACATGAAGTTAACTGCAGACATGGCATTATTTTAGGCTCCCATTTTGCAGAGATAAAATTCGATTAAGATTTGCTCAGTGAAAAAAGAAGCAAAAAGTGAGTACGGAAACAAGAATTCGGGGAGTGGAAGCTCACCTCACTCTCCAACCTGTCATAGCGCAAAAAGTCCCGACGTAGGGTGCGCACCAGCACAATTGCCACGAGGATGGTAAGAAAGAACACAACGAGTACGGAGTTGATTATGGACACCCACTGAATACTCTCGTGCGGTGCCTCCGAAATTAGGTAGCTCCATCGACTACTCAACGGTGCATCCCGTACTTCCTGTTACAGCAGCAAAAATGAACTATTTAGGCGACTATCTCACAGGAATGTGACTCAATAAAGACTGGGGACAAAGGAGCGTACTGAAAAGTGGACGCTGTAGGTGTAGACAATTGTGAGAGGCGCGATAATTTTTTCTGGCAGTGCCAGTGGCCGATTATTGGGGCATTTAAGATCCTTCACGTCGTGGCCAATGCTAAAGACGAAAAGCCATTTGTTACAGCTACTTAAGGCGAAAAAATATGATGTGAAGAATACTCTCACTCAATAGCAATGTCTCCATATTAATTTATCCAAATCCTTTTCTTGTATAAGTGCAAAAAGCATACACTGAACCATGCAAATTTGTCCCACGTACTTAAGGTCATGCAAAAGAGACTAAGGCTACCATTTCTGGTAGGTCTCAAAAAACGAAGAACTAAATTGAGGTGGAATGGAGCAGCAGAGACCATAAGTGGCACTAGAGTTGTTGTGCACAATAGACAAGCAAGATATTATTTCAAATTTACAGCGATCATTATAACCATGTCTATTTCGATTCGAAGCTACTCCGTTTAATTTCATGCAAGAAACATAAGGAGACGGCACACAAATGGGTTAATCATCCCAGATATATACACACTTCTGCTGTCAACATTTAATAAAGGTCTAAAGAGCAACATCTTTTGTTCCGAGATTCAGGATGTCCCACATAAAGCGTCTTTTTTGTTTAGCAATGGAATTATTACCCACATGGGAAAAATGAAAATAGAGTGCAACTCATCTCAGTAGAGCACTCCAGAAAAATGTGTCTTGTTCTGTGACTAATAGTGCAGCGCTCAATCTCATCAAGCGGAGAATGGATCAGCAATGATACTCGACGCAACTTAGCACACGCAATAAGAATCAATAATGAATAGAAGATCGTAAGGGGAATTGATGAGATTCAAACCCATCCTAGATGAACAACTTACTTTTAATTAATGTGAATGAAACTATTTGAGTAAACGCAGAATAAACGCTTGTATGCTAACAGGTATCGGAAAACGTCACAACGCACCTCAATGGAGTAACCTGAACAGCAATCAAGTTGTATTTTGAGGGGCTTGCAGCGGTGTAAGTGATATTAAAGATAAAATGATTGAAGAGATAAGGAGTCGCCTCCTGAGCGCTTGAAAGCTAAAATGTCAATGAAGGTTAAAAAGATCCAACCAATTTTAAAATACCACTAAAACATATCTACTTTGTTCTGACTAGCCATGTTCACACCTAGACAACGGGAAATGCAAACGAGATAATGCTGAGAACATTTAGTAACGTACTTGCACTCAATTAGGAAAAAAAAGATTTAGTAAGAATGAAAAAAATGCTACCTGAGCTTTGCATTGTGTCGGTTCGATCTGCGAATCTGTTTTGTAACATCCGAGAGGAAAACTTCTTTCGCAAACCTTGCCACCAAGGGTTCTTTTGCAAGCAATCACTGGGATGTTATCAGAAACCCTTAAAATTGCTACTGAGACTTGCCATAATTTACCAATATCGATTGTAGGATTGCCTGATTCCTTGTAATAATTTCGTGTAGGTCCCTCCGGGTAAGGAATCTTTTGGATCGTAGGTTTTCCTACACAACTCTACGCATTCACCTGACTTTTTGAATTGTATCTAAAATGAAAACATTTGCATTAATTTCTTTCCGGAGCCAATAAATACACTGTTAGAAAGAACACTTGCCTTGATATTCGTTGACGCCAACATTTCGCCAAACAATTTCGCACCAAGGTTTGCAGGAGAATATGTTGGATTGTCAGAGACACATTGATCCAGTCTATAAAAAGTTGAGTTGAATTAATGCGATTAACTGTGGAGGTAGAAAAGGACCAAAGAGGATCGGAGATGAAAGACGACCAGCATACACTTCGATGATGGACTACAGAAATGCCGAAAAAAGAAAATAGCCTACAGTACAGCCTCCAACTAAGTAATCCTCACAGTAATTTGTCAGCGAAAGCCCAGGTACCGATTTGACATTTAGAACGTTCAGCAAAATAACAAATGCGAAGAGGAACATCATTCCAGATGCTATTCACAGTCAGGGCCAGAGGGCCGTTCTATTGGTAGTCGGCTTAATCATTCGCTGTAAATAAGGTACTGAATAATCCACATACTAACCAGAATTTTTTGCTCCAAATTTACACAAAGACACTGTTGCAAAGTGGAATTACAAATGACTGATTAAGCTTGTTATTTCTAGGTCATTTATTTTGTTCCACAGGTAATTGCAAAATCTGACAGATTTACTTTTCCATGTTTGGACGGTATTGAAACGGATCATTCGGAAAGAATGTTTCTGTCCGAAACAGGAATGCTGACCATATTTATTTTTTCCTTTGCCTGACATTGCATTTCTTCTACTTCTCGCATATTTACCCTACATAACAGCAATTTGAAATAGAGTTACTTAAGCATGAAAATGTTTTTTTTTTTGGAATAACATTGCTTGCACTGGCAAATTTGTCTATTATTCGGGCGATGTCCACCCATTTCTAATATTTAGCTTAGCTCCATCCATAGCTTCATATACGGCAGAGTGGCCTTTAGAATGCTTATATGCTGCCTTCGGACTTCCCGAAGGATATTCAGCTTTTGTAAATACAAAGTGATGAAGGAAGGGGAATCGGTTTGTAACGAGATCAGCAAACCCACTACACATCTCTGCTTTCATGCATCTGAACGATCAGGTTGGTTTGAGGGAGACTATTTTTACTGCAGCAGTGTACAGGCAATCGGGTTTGAATAGGATCTTAGTTTATTTCCTCCTCAGGGGTCAACAGCGTCGGCTCAATCACAGGGTTCTTATATGCTGAGTAATGCGTGGCCCTCGAGTTGGAAAAAGCCAAATTTTTATCCTCTGACCATGCTTACAGGCTAGCAGCCCTGCTGTAAGCTCATAGCAAATCTTCTACCGTATCCGACATGGCTTGTTACGTACTCGAGAAGGGTTTGAGGGGGAGTATAAATACCCATCGAGTACATTGTTTTATTGTTTAAAATTAGGAAAGAAACGTCGAGCTACATAACGTTCCTCATCCTGTGTCAATGTTGGAGGTACCATAGCATCGCAGTCTCTAGAACACATTCCAACTTTTGGTTACTATTTAGCTAAGAAAAGAAGATACCTGACCGCAAATCGCTAAATCTAGAGTTTTGTCCTGTGTGGAAACTGGATTGGGGGAAGGGACAATGGGCAGGCCATTACGTATGTCAATCACAAGTCGTAAGGGCACTGGCACAAATGTAGAGTCATTTTGTAATACAATAGTGGTTTATCCCTCGGTATTGGTGAGACGCCGCTTTGTACTTCGAGTTAGCCCCCTTCTACCTCACTGGGTGGGCTGGCCTTCGGGCCATGCCAATAGCCCAGACACCTTCTCTGCGCTGAATATGTACTCAGCTAGAGTATTGTCTTCTTTCGTCTTCAGGGAGTCTCGGGACGCTACAATTTAGTAAAGACGGTACTTCAAATAGTCTCGTGGGAATGTTTTACGGCTGTTCCTTCATGACATTTCGGTCTTACAGCAGTGATGCCAGCCATATCTATCTGGGTTCTATCCTGCTTGTGGAGAAGCAGACCATGTATCGTGAGCTCACTTCATTGACACCTTTATGCAGGTATCGTGTACAGTGCCATAACGAACCCTTCCAGATCGTTTATAGCTAGTGGTCCCTCAGTTATTAGTAGCATGTCTGCGGAATACAGGACTGGGGTAGTTGCCAAAGATGGACATCATTTTCCCTTCCATTTGGGGGTTCATCACCCATTCTCTCACAGCACATGTCTGTCTCCCATCACATGAAGGGTTAGCAATCAGTAATAGAAATCAATCGTTGCCCTTTATGATCAGATTTGCTTTCTCTGTGACCAATGTAGCGACTCGAGTCTCTCCTGAAGACGAAGGAAGTCATAATATCAGGACAGAATATGCACTGCCGACATACAGAAGGCCTGCGTGGGAGCGACTGGCATAGCCGGGAGGCCACACCGCAGGGCCGAAGTACAGAGACAGAGCCTTAAGTGTTTGCTAAACCAAAGCGACGCGTTAAACAAACAATCGCAGCATTGAGCTTCAACTCGAAAGGTTCTTTTCCTTAATTTTTGCAGTTATTGTGACAACATATTCCAGCTTATACTTGTTCCACTTCTTTTTTTTCAGCAATTACCACCAAAAACGTTCGTGACACTTTGACCTCCTAAAAAACCACTCTTCAAAAAAAGAATTAATAAGCTCTCACTCGCAGACTACTAAAAGGCTTTAAGCAGCATATTGGTGCCAATCAATAATTTATTTCAAATTATTTGCTAAACTGCTGATAAAGACTACTCTTTGAGCATCTCATTCTCGGTTTCAGCATGCGCTCCACCTTCCGACGATTCTAAGGCAGACGAGACAGGTGGGGCATAACCCTCTGCCAGCTTGGGTACGTGACCCCGACCACTATTATCGCCCTACGTTGGAGTCACAAATTCCATGAGTTTCCTCTCAGAACGAATCAAGACAAGAAAACAGGGCCCGGTGGGCGCAGATAATGAATAATGTGATTGGTTACCGCGGCAACTGTTCTTTGAAATCCGACCCGAGGTGAATCACGATAAACCGATCGGTAATATGAGAGGTTTAGACCACGTATGAGATTGCCATCTTCCTCGAAGAAACTAATGTTGCCACAAGCTTCTGTGTCTAAATAACCCATCCAGGAGTACAGGCAGCTAAAAGCACTAATTGGCGATGTGTTCGGTCAGAGTATTTACGGAAGACTGATCTATACCCTGAGAAACTACGTGAAAGATCTGGTCCAAGATTTAGATCCTTGCCCCTTTGAATGGAACTGCGTGAACCGACGGTGAGATTAGGCAAAGTTTGTGGTAGTATGAATTTCACCACAAAACGGGTCAATGTGGCGGCGCAAGGGATTCAGATCAACTGACGAAGGGTTAGCACCATCGGTGAACATTGAGTAGCTTGAGAGATGTCTGATTAAGCCTGAATATAAAGTCCTTTTAACCGCAAGAATGCCACATGGGATATTCACTTCGTGACCAAGATTCCGTTGAAAACTTTGACAAGTTGTGGATAGGTTGGTCGGGGAACAGAAACTACAATCCTCGTAGTCTGGGAAAGAATTTTGGAACCAAGGACGTGGAAGTCTGAGGTAATAGTATTGAGGGCAAATTACACCAATCAAGCAGCGCAGACCGGTTGAAGTCCGAACAAGCGACAGGGTGGCCTACAAGAGATTATCGGCACAGTGACGGAAGATTACTCAGTTCCAAGTAGACGCATCACCCTAGTGTTAAAGAAAGGAACCCGATATATGGGAAACACAAACGAAGTTTGAGACTGGGAACAACGATGGAGGAGAGGCTGTGCCACCTAAATCAGGCACATCTGCCCCAAAGACGTAAGTAGAGAAAGAAACTTCAGAAGTGGGTTTTAAAATAACTTCAACGTAGCAAGAGAAGGGAGAAGCTAAAAACGGCAGTGAATCTGCCCTATTTAAAGATCTAGCATTAGCTGAGCGAAATAAACAGACAGCCCACAACCGCAGCTGGCACCCACATATAAAACAATTCCAGCCATTTGTTCATCTGCCTACCTTTCTGTAGAGAGAAACAAGGACCAAGGGTCAGGGGCCAAACACACGTGGGAGAACTTGTCGTTTTCATCGTCGTCAAGAATCACAATGTAACAGAATCACATACACATATAAGCACACGCAAATTTGAAGTAGAAATATAACAAAATAAAAAAGTTATCCAGGAATACAAACTCACGGCATCGAGCGAGCTGTCAAGTGTGTTTAAAAGCGGGGGAATAGGGGGAGAAGGAGGTGAATGGACTAAAATCACGACTAGATTAGTACATCGATCAAATACCGGATTGGTCACGGGCGGCCACTGCTGCTGCAGCGAGCACCCGCTGGTGCATATCGGCAGCCGAGGGGGAGAAGAAGATCACGTCTTGATAGCTCGGCGGGGGCGGCTCTTCCAACCCGCCGCTCCTACTGCTACCGCCCGACCCCTCACAATCTTCTCCGGTGACCAACCCGGGCGGCGTCGGTGACGGTTGCAATGGTGGTAGCGATGGCAGTGACTGCAGGAGGCGTTGACTGGGGATCCCTTCACATTGTTCAGCGTCTGTGGGTAAGATTACGGTCATGGCAACCACGTCCTTGTATGCCGGTGGAAGCTCCGAGTTCAGACTGTTAATAAAGAGTGCAAGGCAATCTTCTAGCCCCAATGAACCGCCATAAAAGAATAATTTTGTAAAAAAAACAGTATCTTCAGAGTTAGCCTATGCACTGAGATGGTCTGATGTTCAAAAAGCCACGCATTTGCATTTCCACTGCAAACCATGCAGGAGAAAAAGGTATCATGGTATCTGTACGTACCAGAACGTGGCGTGTAAAGACCACCGCTATCTGGCAAGACGTCAGTAACGGGAGGTGAAATAGCCGATGGCACAAAATGAGCGCCTTAGGTATTGCTGCTGAATCATCCAGCAGTGAGACTCGCAAGGACTTCGAGCTGGCCACCACTTGAAAACAGCTCCGCTTAGATTTGAAAGCACCGAGGTCTAAGGTGACTACTCGTGCAGCACACAATGATTTGACGGTGTTTATTTTTCGTTTGCACCAGCCGTTTCCAAGCGAGCCCACCCCTAGCCTAGTGATGGCAAAACAAGCACCTCCCTGTGTGTGTGTGCATCGCTGACTCAATAAAATCTTCGGCGATTAGCTGCACCAGATTCTGGTAGTTCGGGGAACCATATAAACGTAAACTGTAGTAAGTGTTCGCCTTCTTCATGGCAATTCAAATTCCTCCGGAGAACTTCTCCCTATGAGTAAAAGCTGTAATGCGTTGGCCATTTAACTCTGCTTTACTGAAGGGTCAATTTGTGTCCTGACCATTGTACCTTCGTAGCGTGGGCTGGCCTCCGGACCACGCCGGTCGCCCAAAGCCATAGTGTACGTCAACGATACAGACTCTGCCCGAGCGTCATGTCTTCTTGCGTC